GCCCCGGCCCAAGACGGTCGGACCCGGTTTTCTCGGAGCGGCGGGATCAGAGACGCGAGCCCGCCGAATTGCAGACGTGAGGTCGGGCACAGCTGGAGGGCGGCGGAGCCGTCGCGGCCACATCCGGGGCGACGCGCCTGAGTCACCCCACCCCCGCTCGCGTCCGCCTGTGCAGCCAGTCCGCCCGGTCTCTCCAGCCCGAGACTCGGCTCCCACCGCCACCCGAGCCGCAAGAGCCCGCGGGGGCGGGGCGTCCAGGGGCGGGGCTGTCCCTTAAAGGGCCCCGGCCGCTGCTCTTAGGCCACTTCCTGGGGGCGGAGAGGAAGCGGCAGCCGCGACACCCGGCGTGAGGCGGTGGAGGCTGAGTCTCGAGACTCCCGGTTGCTCCTTCAGAGCTCTCCTCTGACACTCCCAGTTCGGACTGAGCGCTCATCGTCGCCCCCCAGCCGGTACCGGGAGGCTCCGCCATCCGATCCCAGCAGCTCCGCCTCCATCTCCTGGGATCCGCGCCCGGAGCCAGATCAGGCCTCTGACTGGCCCCCAGACCCCTGCGCGGACTTGTCCACGGCGACCGCGATCTGCTGGGCTCTTCAAAGAGTCTGCCGGTGCTCGCCACCGTCACCTGCTGGTTGGATTCCGGAAACCCACTGTCTGGAGACCGCAGAAAATACTCGCTGACCACCCAGAATCGGATACGTCCGGACGGAAGGATCCCTTCCTCACTCTGGCTGGCCTCTGCTCTTTTCACCTCTTCTCTTGGGGATTTCTGTGCCCTGAAGCCAGCCCCCAATCTACCACTGAAGTAGCTGGGGTGAGCCCCAAACCTTACTACCTTGTGCTCCAACCTGTGCCTCCACCCCAGCGAGTCTGAAAGCTACCACCCAATTCTGCACATCCCCAGGAAGTTCTGCTTTTTCTTCTCTTTCGGTGTCTTCTGTACTTCCCAAAATTTCCCCTCCTCCTGAGCCCTCTTCTCCCCCCTCCTTTGGGGGCCCCGTGACCCTGAATGTGGGGGGCACACTATATTCTACCACTTTGGAGACCCTGACCCGCTTCCCAGACTCCATGCTGGGAGCCATGTTTAGGGCTGGCACGCCCATGTCCCCCAACCTCAATCCCCAAGGAGGTGGCCACTACTTCATCGACCGGGATGGCAAGGCCTTCCGGCACATCCTCAATTTCTTGCGGCTGGGCCGCCTGGACCTACCCCGTGGCTATGGAGAGACAGCACTTCTCAGGGCAGAGGCTGACTTCTACCAGATCCAGCCCCTCCTGGACGCTCTGCGGGAACTGGAGGCCTCTCGGGGGACCACTGCACCCACAGCTGCCCTGCTCCACGCAGATGTAGATGTCAGCCCTCGCCTGGTGCACTTCTCTGCTCGCCAGGGCCCACACCACTATGAGCTGAGCTCAGTCCCCGTGGACACCTTCCGAGCCAACCTCTTCTGCACTGACCCAGAGTGTCTGGGTGCTCTGCGAGCCCGATTTGGTGTGGCCAGTGCGGACAGGGCAGAAGGAGGCCCACATTTTCGCCTGGAGTGGGCCCCCCGTCCCGCAGAACTCCCAGAAGTGGAATATGGGAGACTGGGGCTGCAGCCGTTATGGACTGGGGGGCCAGGAGAGCCACGGGAGGTGGTAGGCACGCCGAGCTTCCTGGAAGAGGTGCTGCGGGTGGCTCTGGAGCATGGCTTCCGTCTAGACTCTGTCTTCCCTGACCCTGAAGACCTGCTCAACTCCCGATCCCTGCGCTTTGTCCGGCACTGAGGATGTTATCCTCAGTTTGATTGTGGGGAGGAAAGGGGATGGGGCAGCTAACAGGGGAAAGCTCCTCTGAAGCCTCTTTCCAGCTCTGCCTGAAGAGCTATGAGAGTCAGGGGTTCCACTGCACCTGACTGGAGCCTGGACGTGGGCAGGAATTCCCCAGCCCAGAGCCCACCAAGGGCTTACAAGTGATCCAGAGGGTCTGGACTGGTGCTGGGAGGGGCAAGGAAGGTTCTAATGGCTTGTTCTCATCTAAGGCTGGGGACTTCCAGTCTCTTCTTGGTTGGAGCTGAGTATTCAGGGGTCTAGAAAAGCAGAGAACCCTTCTTTGTCCAGGCTAGGTCTGGCAGAACCCTGGAGGGATGCTGAGGTCTGGGAGAAAGGGGGGAACTTTGCATTGCCCCAGTGTGTTCTTCTGGATCATGGATCAGTGTGGTCTTCTGGATCACTCTTCTGAAGCTGAGTGGCCTGACCAATGAGAGGCCAGAATGCTCTAGAGCATGGAAAGAAGGTTTCTTGGAACATGAAAAGAGGTCCCAGTCAGGCTCGGTGGCTCAGCCTGTAATCCTGCGCTTTGGGAGGCTGAGGTGAGTGGATTGCCAGAGCCCACGGGTTCGAGACCTGCCTAGGCAACTTGGCGAGACCTCATCTCTACAACAAATCAAAAAATTAGCCGGGCGTGGTAGCGCGCGCCTGTAGTTCCAGCTACTTGGAAGGCCGAGGCAGAAGGATCACTGGAGCCCAGCAGGTCGAGGCTGCAGTGACCAGGAGTGGCCACTGCACTCCAGTCTGGGCGACAGAGTGAGACTCCAACTCAAAAAAGAAAGAAAGAAAGAAAGAGATCCCAAGCCACCTACTGAGGGAGACAGAATGGCCACACCCTACCCTAGGTTGGCATAAGGGAGCTAGGAGAGTCTCTACAGCAATGGGGCTGGAGCACCCTTCTGTAATTCCAAGTATTTTGAAGGATCCCATATTGATGGGGAGGTGGATGGTATCTTTTTGAGTTCTGGCCTTTCTTTATGTTTGTGTGATGCCAGCCAGCATGTCTGACGGATGTGTGGGTCCCTGGCATCCTGGCTTCCATCTGTGTTGCTGACTGTGGTGCTGGTCTTTCTGTGATTTCTGCATGTCCAGGCCTGTTTGGGGTTGCCCAGCGACTGTTTTGGCACAGGGTGTGTCTGTGGTATGTGTGAGTCGATTGACAATTAGCAGTTTAATCACAGGGTGTGTGTGAGTGTGTGTGTTTATATGCATGCATTCGCACACATCACCACTAGGCAGGAGTGGCCTGTTGGGGTTTGAGTCACTGAGATCTTCCTGGTGAGAGAGGCAGGAGAAGTCACTGGGCCTAGCTGGGCCTGAGGCCTGTATGGAACTCTTAGTTGCTGAGGCAACCATGGGTCTGTTGCTAGGAGATAACTGGGGAAGGCCCAAGGCCGCCCAGGGCAGAGAGACTGGATGAAGTGTTTGGGAGAGTGGGGGAGGATATGGGAAGGGATGGAATTTCCGGGTCTCTGAGTACATGGGATATTCATGCACAACTTCCTCACTTGGGATGTCATTATTTCTCACTGATCATGATTTACAAGAAGAAAAATAAAATTGTTTTTGGAATCACGAACTTGTAAAAGCTGCTGAGGACTGGGTTCGGGGAGCTTTCCCTCGCAACAGATGCCCTGCTTTCTCTGCCCATCTCCTGCTAGAGATGTCTTCTCACCCCTAGTTCCTTGGGCCCCAGCTTTACCCCAGCCAAGAATGGAACAGTGGCATTATTCTGGAACACTCTAGAACTTCCAGACAAAGGGCTAGAGCCAGGGTCAGAGAGCATTCCAAGGCCTTCCCAGCCCAGATGGGGCCAGCTCCTACCCCACCCCACAGTGGTCCTCATGTGGATGCTGGCACTAGGTGGGATTTTCCTGGCAGCCGCTAAGGCCTGTGTCTTCTGCCGCCTCCCAGCCCGCGACTTGTCAGGCCGCCTAGCTCGGCTCTGTAGCCAGGTAGAGGTCAAGCGGAAGGAATGTGAGGCCATCCCAGACTTCTCAGCCTTTGCCTTAGGTAAGACCAGATATCCAGGAACAGACCAGAAGCAATCATCCTTGCACCCCAAGAGGGCAGCATGTAACCTCCCAGCTGTGCCCTCAGCCATTGCCTCACTCCACTCCCCTCTCTGGACACACTGGCTTCTCCCTCTAAGAGAGCTCCACATGCCAGAAAAGTCAGAAGAAACCCCAGAACCTCTGTCTGGGCTGATGAGGAAATCACTGGTCCTTGCCCATCTCCACAGATGAGGTGTCCATGAACAAAGTCACAGAGAAGACTCACAGAGTCCTGAGGGTCATGGGTGAGGTCAAGGGGAAGGCATGACCTGGGGGCTTCGGAGGACACCAAGGAGAGGGCTGGGGAGGCAGGGAAGGGCGAAAGGCAGGTGAAGACCGGAGGGCTGATCAGGGAGGGGCTGGGTGAAGGGGGCGGGGTGAACTGGTACAGTTGAGGCCCAGGGCAACATAGCTACTCTCTGCCTCCCCAGAGATCAAAAAGGCTTTCTCCTCACTCCCTTCATATTGGCAATGGCTTCAAAAGACCAAGCTGCCTGAGTACACCAAGGAAGGTACTGGCCCAGGAGGGCAGCAAGGGGGGCCTGGGGTCTCAGGCACTGGGGTGTGTGGATGAGCAGCTCATCCGCCCCACCCCTTCTGGCTTCCATTTCAGCTCTCTGTGCTCCCACTTGCCGTGAGTAGAAAAGGAAAGGGTTAGCAAGGACTTGGGGCCTCCGGGGTGCCTGGGAGAGTCTGGCAGCTGCGGGGAGGAAGCTGGGTACCTGGAAGAGTGGAGGCCGGGGCTCTCCTCCTCCCCAGCACTGCTCCTGTTGTCTCCTGCAGGGGGCAGCACCATCCTGTACAACTGCTCCACCTGCGAGGGCACCGAGGTGTCCTGCTGGCCCCGAAAGCGCTGCTTCCCAGGTCCTTTCTCCACGCCCCGCCCCGCCCCGCCTGGGTCCTCGAGCCTTTAGGCTCCGCCCCCATCGGTGGGTGTGGCCCCCGGGATCACTCACTGCCTCCTGGCTCCCCTGCAGGAAGTCACGATCTTTGGGAAGCCAGGATCCTGCTCCTCTCTGTCTTCGGTACTGTCCTGCTTCTGGGTGTTCTGAGCCTCCAGGTGGAGTGAGTTGCGGGATAAGGGCAGAAAGCCTAGCCTCTGCACCTCCTACCCTACCCAGCGCCTTCCACTGCTCATTCCTCCCCAACCCCCTTCCTGTCCTTTCCAGTCTATCGCCCTTAGGCCTTCCATCCTGTTTTCTCTCAGGTTCTGCTACCTCCAAGCAAAAAGTGACTTGTGAAGATGCTGACAACCACCCAGCCTCCAGCTCTAAGGGGTGTGTACTCAACTTTCACACATCCCTTGAGGAGACAACCAGCCAGCCCCTTAGTCCCAGCCCCAAAGACTCACTCAGTCTTCCAGGCCCTAAAGCCCAGACATCCCTGCTTCTGTTTGGTGGATGATGAAACAAAACAAAACAAAACAAAAAAAGACTCCCCATGATCCCTCCAGGAACCCAGCCACCCACAGCTGGAAAATTCCTCCCCTCCAGCCCTCAACCAATCAGACAGAGCCATCAAAAAACGATGCCAGGAAAATATCTACAGAAGGAAAGAATTCCCTACAAGTACAACCACCACTCCCACACCCCCTTCTGCCTGTTCCGGGAAAGCGGGGGCTGTCTGCCCCAAAAGCTACCCTATGACTGATTGGGAATCCGGGAATGTGTGTTCTGGAAAACTACCTCCCTCTGGAGTGAGACCACATCAGTCAGTCCGCTGGCATCCTCTCCCTCAATTGTTTTAATTCTGTGAAACCCTGGTCTCCCTAGGAGGCCTCCTTCCTGCCAGGCCCAACTAAACCAGCTGTCCATGACCTCCACCCCTGCCTGGTCTCTGTCTACAACTTGGCAGGGAAGAGGGAGGATGGGAGCTTCTCAGATGGGGTTGACCTTGCACCTCAGTAGACATTCACCAACATCTGGAGGCATTTTGTATTGCTTTGACGGAGGCCGATGTGCTCCTAGCATCTAGTGTGTAGGGCCACGGATGCTGCTAAACATTCTACAATGCACAGGAAAGTCCCCCACAACAAATCATTATCTGTTCAAAATGTTATAGTGCATGATTGAAAAACCCTGAAGTTTGACTCCTGCCTATGAGGAGTTTTTGATTTGGGGATGGGACGTGGGATATGAGACAGGAAAAGAGAGGCCTGTCACCAACCACAGGTTCCAGTCCAAGCACCTAGGCCTGGAAGGGATCCCAGCCCTTACCTAGTACAGTGATTTTCAAACTGGGTACCTCAAGGCTCCAGGGCAAGGGCTCTCAACTAGCTGCACACCAGAGTCACCTGGGCAACTTTGAAACTACCCAGGTTGGGCCCCACCTCCAGAGATTCTGAATTAAGTGGTCTCATATGGGACCTTGATTAGTGTAACCTCCAGCCAGTGCTAGAACCACTGTTCCGGGGGTTGCCCATAGAGATCATGGGGATGGGAAGAGGAACTCCCACTTCTTCTATGAGAGTACCTCTCTGTTTTATACATTCTAGTCCAATCCCTTCACTTTACACGTGAAAAAAAATGAGACCCAGAGATCACATAAGAACATACAACTTGTCCAAAATCATACAACAACTCATTCATCCATTCACTTGACAAAAACATAGTGAGTGCCTGCCAGCGGCCAGGTAGCCTCACTGCCTGAGAATAGGATAAGAAGTCACACCTGCTGACTGCCCGGGCACAGCTCTCCTATGGACCTCAGGAGCTGCCTGTGCCGTCGCCTGCTGTACCCTCTTTCCTGGCTCGATGTAAGTCAATGTTTCCCATTCTTTTTTTTTTTTTTGAGTTGGAGTCTCATTCTGTCACCCAAACTGGAGTGCAGTGGCCGCTCCCGGCCACTGCAGCCTCAACCTGCTGGGCTCCGGCGATCCTTCCGCCTCAGCCTTCCAAGTGGCTGGAACTACAGATGTGCGCTACCACGCCCGGCTAATTTTTTAATTTTTATTGTAGAGATGAGGGTTCGCCAAGTTGTCCAGGCGGGTCTCGAATCTGCAGGCTCAGGCAATCCCTTCACCTCAGCCTCCCAAAGCGTGGGATTACAGGCTGAGCCACTGAGCCCGGCCACCCATTCTTGAAGGACCTCTGTCTTGTGTCCCCTCCTCCTGCCCCTAGCCCCCTGGCCACCCCAGAGCCCTGTAATAGTGGACAGTTTTCCATATGTGCTATCTGACTCTGCCTGCTCCCTTTGAGTTTCACCCTTAGCAGCCAGACTGCTCTTCCTAAAACTCTATACTGCTCACACTCTTCTGTCCAGCATCAAATGATGATTAAGAACATGGGCTTGGCTGAGTTTGGTGGCTCAGCCTATAATCCCAACACTTTGGGAAGCCGAGATGAGTGGATTGCCTGAGTCAGCGGGTTCGAGACCAGTCCAGGCACCTTGGTGAGACCTCATCTCTACAGTAAAATCAAAAAATTAGCTGGGTGTGGTAGCACGCACCTGTAGTTCCAACTACTTGGAAGGCTGAGGCAGAGGGATCACCGAAGCCTAGCAGGTCGACACTGGAGTGGTCGTGAGCGTGCCACTGCACTCCAGCCTAGGCAATAGAGTGAAACTCCAACTCACAAAAAAAAAAAAAAAAAAAAAAAAAAA